TGCACCAGGGCGCAGCCGGTGCCCTGTGCTCTGACGTGGATGTGACCTGGCAGCAGCGTGACGTCACGAGTTTGCATCAGTAGCAGATTGTCCGCCGTCACGCTGATGACGTCGTTCAGCGAGCTGTCATCGGAGACGTGTACTCGCAGGTCGGCGCTGCTGGAGCGAGGCAGGTCGGTCGAGAAGACGGCCAGTGCCTCCAGCGCCAGCACCGTATCCTGTCACGGCCGTCCGCCAAGTGAGCAGCGCACAGGACATTGTAGAACCCATTCGATGACAGTGAGCCGGACACAGGGGTACAACAGACCCCTCCGAGCGTAGTGAGCAGAACACATGGATATGACAGTCCCCTCCCTGGGAGTGAGCAAGACACACAGGTACGGCAGAACCCTCCGAGGGGTGAACAAGCCATACACATACAATGGACTCCTCCGTGGTGAGTGAACAAGCCACACAAGTACGGCAGTCCCCTCCGTGAGGGGTGAGCAGGATACACAGGGGTATGAGGTAGGGGTACACGGGGAGGGGGTATGCAGGATACACATGTACGACAGGCCCCTCCGTCGGTAGTGAACAGGACAAACAGGTACAACAGACCCTTCTGAGGGGGGACTAGCAAGCCACACATGTACGACAGACAGCAGGCAATGTGTGGCAGTGTCGTGACCAGCTAGTCCGGCAGACACATGACGTTCACCCCAGTGATTTCTATGACCTGCGTGGACACGAAGCCGCCGCGACTGTTGCGCTGCTGGGTGATCCAGCGCACGGCACCCAACGCGTCGTTGAAGTGTTCGCTGCTGTCGTCACCGGCTTTCTCCAGCAGATTCATCGTCAGGATGTTATAGGCACCCATTTCTACGCTGAGCGCTCGATTCTCGTCAGAGCCTGGTGACGTACGCCACGATAAGGTTTTGAAAGTACGCTGGTTAACCGCTGTTCAGGATAGACCGGGAAGTGAGGAAGGTGCGTTCAGTACTGTACATTCAGTAAAATGCGGCCAAATGGTGTCATATTTCACATGTGCTCACTGTAGAGTTACGTCGAAATGTACGAAAGAGTACAGAACACATACAACTGTGCACACTCAGCCTTCACCAACGCATTCTACAAGCATATTGGGACAATTGTCAAAGCACAGCAGCAATCATAAGCTGATTAACTAGCCTTCGGACGTCCACAGCACCGCTCCATCCAGCGAGTGTTACTGTTGTGCTGGTGCGGCGGGATGACTCTCACCTTCGTTGCGCCAGTGCACCAGGCCCTCCTCTCTGGTGGCACGGCTCTTGAGCTCTGTCAGACCCAACCGCGCCTCGTCCAGGCGGCCGGCCACGGCGCGCGCGTGCGTCAGCAACGTCAGCGTGTACAGGTCAGAGCTGATGTCCTGGGGAAGGCACATGGCGGCTGATGAGCGGCGGCCAACATGGCATTCCTCGGACGGTGAGCGGTGGCTGACATGGCATTCCACGGACGGTGAGCGGTGGCTGACATGGCATTCCACGGAAGGTGAGCAGTGGCTGACATGGTATTCCACGGACGGTGAGCTGTGGCTGACATGGCATTCCACGGACGGTGAGCGGTGGCTGACATGGTATTCCACGGACGGTGAACGGTGGCTGACATGGCATTCCACGGACGGTGAGCGGTGGCTGACATGGCATTCCACGGACGGTGAACGGAGGCTTACAGGGCTTTCCACGGACGGTGAGCGGTGGCCAACATGGCATTCCACGGACGGTGAGCGGTGTCCATCATGGCCCCGGCGGTAGCTAACCCACGGACGGTGAGCGGTGTCCATCACGGCCCCGGCGGGTAGCTAAACCCACGGCCGGTGAGAGGTCGGTTCCATCACGGTCCAACGGCCGGGTAGCTAACCCACGGACGGTGAGCGGTGTCCAACACGGTCCCGGCCGGTAGCTAACCCACGGCCGGTGAGCGGTGTCCAACACGACCTCAGGGGTAGCTATCCTACAGCGCTAAGTCACTCACGTCTATGTGCCATACAAAGGCAACAGGTGTTGTAATAAGAGCTAGTGGAGTGCGTTCCTGCACACGGCGGTAGACATGAAAGACCAGCCTTTTGGTGAGCTGTTTAACCCAATTTTGTGCTGTTTAATCGGACGTCTCGCTACACAGTGCGGTATGGTATAGTGCATGCGTCCATCGGGAACACAACCACAACCAGACACCGCCAGAGAACGGGGGAGGAGGCAGGCTGCCCTTCTTCCCCACTGTTAGCAACGCATGTTTTACTGAGCACCATAGAGGACTCCTTTATTTATTTTATGGCAAGCACTCAGCGAGCTCCGACCCTACCCACCCACCCCTCCGTATTGAAGAATTTCTGGCTGTGCCCCTGACTGTAACGGTGCATGTTTGTTTCATCTATGGATCATTTCATCGCTTTCTGCACACAAGATCCGCTTCTGAAACATTTTTTTCTGGCATTCTGTAGTATGGTGATGTAAAAGGGAGCGAATGATATTGTTACAGAAGGCAAAAGCGATTAGTACTTCGGCCACAACAAAATTTCCTGATAAATTTCATGCAACAGTCATTCTCGGCTGTTCTTAGGTTCGTCCCGCGGAGCCTACGGGCTTGTTGCGGGGGTACCAAGCCAGAGGCTAGATCATGAGGGTGTAAGTTGAACCACATGTGAAATATTATGTTTATGTGTACGAACTGAGTGACTGAGCACGATCCCTATTGGCAATACCTCAAAAAACTTTCGGAACCATGTAGGCCAAAGCCACCAAAATAAGATGAAGCATCAACAGCAAGGCTCTAACATGCATCGCACAGTGAAGAAATGCCGACCTACGCAAATAACCAATGCAGTTGCGGCGCCCTTCAAACTCTAACTCAAACCTCAACTGCCGACGCATCTAGAGTCAATCACGTCGCCCAACTCTTTTCCAGAAACCGCCTCCAGCGATCACACGTGTCTCTGAGCCGTTGGCTGACCTGCGTCAGGCAGCGGAAGGCGCCGTGGACGGTGTTCTTGCCCAGCTCTACCCCCGACTGCAGCAGCGCGATGGTGATGTAGGCCGTCAGCGCCTGCTGGCCGCCGGACCCAACGCCACCCTGAAACACGTCAGCCTTGCTGGTACCCGCAAACATCGGCTGGGTCCACACAGGGAACAACGGCTATCACGTGAGGAGCGGGGCAAACGGCAATGGACTTCGCCGTTGGCGGACGGGTCAGAGAAAAACCGGCCAAGAGCAGACAACATGCAAGCACGGCTGCACAAGTATGAGTGGTGAGTATGCAACACGAGAAACCACAGATGGACCCCTCCGTCAATCAGCCGATGTGGTGCGCCCCCCCCCCCCCCCCCCCCCCCCCAGATCCAGATCCAGCGGTAAGTACATGCGCCTTTCAATGCACTCAGTTGTAGATACTTGGTTAAAGTTAGTTTGAAGGCGAATTTATGACAGCGTGCCACGGGCGCAAGGGAATCAATGCAGACAAACACAAGATCTTACCTTCATTTTCTTGTTGAGAACCGTCCCCAAAGATGGGAAGCAGCCGCTACTCAATTGATGGGATTCGATCCATCGCACACTTCCTTCCAGGTCAGCCTCGTCGATGAAAATGAACTCCTTTGCGTCACCGAACGACTTGATGACAAAGCCGGTCAGCCACATGGAGCCTGAGTCGTCCGACTTGCCAAATGCCGAGTAGGATTTGTCCTCGTGACGGTAGCCCAGCTCGCGCTGGTAGCCTGGGGCGAGACACGGGTCACGAAGGTCACGGTAACGAGCGCGCTGGAAGTCTCACGAGTTTTGAGCTCAGCTGTCCATGAAGGTCTTCCAGAAGGGGCGCTATCTTAAGTAAATAGGTTTACATTTAATAATCTAACTGCTCTGGTGATGTGAACTACCATGAGCAGTTTAGATCAGAAGACTTGTTCGGTTGCTTGGTGCAAAATACCAAGAAACGATAGCTTGGTTCTGACGCATGCCTGATCATTTGGGTTCGCGATTTGGTATGTGAATCTCATACTAGTTAGGACTTCAGTAATCTAGTGCAATGTTATTCCCAGCCTGATCAACCGAGTACCTGATCTCATGAAGCTGACAAGTTTATCCTTGATTTGCTCAGTCAGTTCACCAACTGCAGTCAAATACTTCATGACGTGAATGTTGGGAACGAAGAGTACCATGTTCTGTTCGCCGCAACCGGTTGGTTGCCGTACCAGCGACTCCAGGTTCTGAGAAGTACAGAAAGCTTGGACATATCTGCTTTGGCTTTAAACGGCACAGTTAACGCATCCATGATAGCGGAGGGAATCACATAAATGACGTAAATGAAAATGACTAGAGCAAAAGTGGGACCGTGGCCGTACGTTACACAGCTGGGAGCATAAGGATGTGCCAACAGAAAAGGCCATGACTTCTACAACAGGTTACTCGACAATTACTTCAGCCTCACGCGGATATATTATGTCGAACACATCCAGCGAACATCTGTCATTGCGGACAGTACGCAAGTGACGTACGTCAATGCTGGGTCCCAGCAGGTCTCTGACGACGGCGATCTGAGCCCGCTCGGAGTCGGGCACCAGGTCGGCCGGCAGAAGCAGCGGCCAGTCAACCTCCCGTCTGTTCGGTCCGCTCGACAGGTCGGCACCCTCCGCTGCCGGCGTACGGGTCGGGTCAGGGAAGCGGTACCCAAACAGGGCGAGCCCTACTGCGGCACAGGACACGTCCGTAGCCATGCGGCGGGACGATGAAAGCCGCGTCGCGATCAAGGAAACAACGCCAACACACGGCTGAGCGTACGTGCGTCCCAACACCGCCAGCAACGCCGCGCCCTCCAAACCGTCACTAGCCTGCAGCTACACCGGCACCGGCCTTAGTCATCCCGTTAACATCCGCTTTGGCAGCGCACTCACGGCTGATGCACATGAAGAAGGAGTAGATGACTTCACGCTCGAAGCCCTCCGGCTCCACCAGAATCGGCCTGGTCACGGCGTCCCTGTCCAAATGGTAGTCGCGTTGGCTGCATGCATCCACGGCAAAATGGGATATCGGTTGAGAGTAGTCACGCCTTCATATTTCATTGAATCAAAAAATGAAGGCATTTTGATTTTTTTTTCAGCAAATATCTGTATGTCATTACAGGACAGAAACGTGCATGCAATAGGAAACACTACCGGTTCATTTGCAACTCTTAACATCCCACCCAAACCAGGGGGTCTGGGCTCGTGTCTCGGTTACGCACATCTGCCGTGTTTAAAGCTGACTCACACGGCGTGCGCCACGCTCCGTACTCCCGCAACGCGCAACGCCACGCACCTGAAGTAGGGCACCACCTCTGACCCACACTCGGCGGGGAAGTCGGAGTACACCTCAGCCACCACGGTGATGTTAACGTCGCCGAGCTGGCCGGGCCGCAGCAGGTACGGCACGACCTCGGCCACGCCGGTCGACACGCACGAGGTCACCACCGGCGCCGAGAGCGTCTCGAACTCGTCCGACGCCACCAGTGTCAGCTTGACCTGCGGCCACAGGCGCCGGTGCCTGTTTAGCGTCCACAGGACCGGCGGGATATCGCGTGGGGCCAGTAGTGTCCGAGCGGACAGCTGGTAAAGCTAGCGTTGGATTCAGTCTTATCCAGCATGTGGCGTGTGGTGACGCCGAGCACCGACAGAGATAACACGAGCGAGCAAGATAACACGAGCGGAACAGAGCGCTCAGGAGAGCAGCGAGGACCCACCGGCAGCGCCTCTTCGTTGTAGTTGAGCACCGAGACCTTGAGCACTAGCGTCTCGCCGCGTTTCACCGAGTAGGGCAGCGTGTAGCTGACGAAGAACGGCTGGAAGCTGGTGATGGAGGCCGACGGCGCCACGCCAAGGCCGGCCGTCTCCGAGCTGCACACGGCTCCGCCTACCCACTCGGTGATGGTGTCCGGCACCTTCTGGGTCAGCGTCACCGAGCCGTCGTTCCTGCCCGGTGCGGAGGTGGCCGGCTGTGACACTGGCCAGGCGGCCGAGGAACGGCACCGAATTGTGGCTTGATGGTGTAACTGTTCTAGTTCCTGCATGAGGCATGGCGAGTTTAAATGTGAACATGACTAACGGCACGGAATCATGACTTGGTGTAGCTGTTCTAGTTCCTGCATGTGAGGAGCGGCACGGAATCGTGACTTGATGGTGCAAATGTCCTAGCTCCTGCACGTGAGGAGCGGCACGGAATCGTCACTTGATGGTGTAGCTGTTCTAGTTCCTGCATGTGGCATGGTGAGTTCTAATGCTGTAAAGGCACGGAATCGTGACGTGATGGTGCGATTCTGTCCTAGTTCCTGCATGTGACATGGTGAGTTATAATGCCGAAAACGACCAACGCTTAAGGTATAAGAATGTGTTGCGTAAAGAGAAATATAAATAAATTGGTGCTCTTTATGACGATAGTGCTCAAAATATACGACTTATTATCTATCATGTGTGACCTGCCCATGCTCATGATCTATACTAGTTAATGCATATTTCTGGTTACATTTTGAGGAAAAAAAACGCATCCTGCCCCTCTCCTAAAAACAAAATTATGATTTTGTTTTGTTTACATTATCGTGTAAGCTGTTGAGGGCTTCAACTAATAGGTTAATGTGCATCCAACATACTACTGGCTGGTTACATGTACATGTGAGCATACTCAAACGACATGAAACGGTAGGTAATCAGGACAGCTTTGAACAAACCCATGAACAGCTTCAGAGTACGAGGATCAACGGCTCAAGTCCACATCCAACGCAGCCTCGTCACAGTCAGTGCGCCCATGTTCGTCCACTGACCCGACCGTGTGGAGATCGAACAGCCACGTCTCGGGGAAGTAGGTGCGAACCACGTCAGGCACCTCGGACGGAGGCGGCGCCGGGGCCGATCCGGAAGGCGAATCGAGCACCGGCGTCGGGCCTCCTGGTAACCGGAGGAACGTTAGCACGTCACCTCAGCGCTTCAAATACATTATTCTTTCCTTTCTAGATGTTAGCTCAAAAATGCATTGCTTTGTTTTCCAGACTGAACTTAACGACAGTTGAGTGAGTTCGCAATACATTAGATAGCCAGACGAGTTGCGAGGCAGTCATTCATCATCACCGTCATCATCATCGATGGTTAACCGCGGCTTGACGACCCTTGTCGGCTCTGAAGTCGGCCACCGTCATCTGTCTCATCCCGCCTTTAGGTGGTCGCCGTCGGAAGACTTGCGGTTAGCACCGACACGCGTTGACATGGGGGCGCCGACATCGACCCTCAGAACCATGCTGACCACCGAATACCAGCCAACTGGGGATTACAAAGCCTGCCACCTTCTTAGACCCCAGACATTGCGAGTGTTGGTAGACAGGGTGAAAAAACTTCTAATTTACTGGATATGATCGGTGACAAAAACTGGCACTTTTGCAAACCAATTGATGACAAAATTGCGAAAATGAAAACGAATTGCAACAGACAAGACCATACTACAACACATCACCCCAGCTCGACGAAACTACAAGTTTACTATTGGTCTGTACTTGCTAACGCCTGCAGCGTGAGCGCATGTCGAAACGATGACGTTTCGCTGTATAAGCAAGTTGAGGCATAAAATGCTGCCAAACAAAGAAACTTTGATCAGGATAGTTTTTAGCCGGTGGCAGAAACGCACTACAAACTATAATATATCAGTGTTGACCTCACAGATCAGTAATAACATAATGTTTTCTTTTTCAATGCCCCGCAGATCGGTGCTTTTCACAGATTTTTCGGCAAAGATTCACTTCACATACTAAACAGTATGAAGTACCAAATAACTAGGCTTATTACTGGTCGTAAGAATGTGGCTGGCCACAGCACCTTGCGACAAACGTGATCAGTTTGCTACGCAGCGTTTCAGAGCGTTGTGTCATTTGAGACAGCTTTGATTTGATTTGTTTGAGAGCTCGATTGCTCGCTACGCGGTAGTGCGTTGGGTTCAGTGCTTGGCTGTGGGCTGTTGTCTGTGTTCATGCCGTGAGAAGCTGACTGGTTAGAAGGACGTAGCTAATCGTCTCTTTTGGGGTAGTATCGTTAAAATGGCCTGCCGATCTAGGGTTGTTGCACGGATGTCAATTTTTGTAAGTTATGGGGAGGGGGCCAGACCGAAGGCTCGGCAACTTACTCCCCCATTTACTTTTTTTCTCACCGTATTTCGACCATCCAATTTTGATTAAACGCAGTGTATGTTTTAATCTTTGTATACTTGATAAGATTCTTTGATTTAAGCAGTGTAGAAGCCATGCAAGGTTCGATCCAGCGAGCAGGCACTGGATACATGCGTCTACTTGATCGGCAAGTGAAGGCGCCCCTTTGGAGACCACCTCAGGGGGCTGATGGCGCGCTTCTATAGCGGTCATGGGAGGCGCCAAACAGTTTTGTTCTGGGGGACGGGAACGGGGTTAGCCATGGAGGACTTGGGTCATCCCCGTATTCCAGAGTTTTTCACTGTAAACTCACAAACCATCACGTGTCTTACGGTATGCGAAGGTATGGTATAGGTATGCGAAGTTTATTGCATCGTTTACCCGCTCACCTGCTAGGATTGGTATTTTGTGATGGGAGCAACCATGACTTTTTGTTATGATAGTGGTACGAAACGCCACTACGGAGACAAATTAGGTAGTCCTTGTGTTATGATCATCGTCTAAGCACGTTTTTTGTGTAGTATTCCAGCCAAAAACATTGGGGGCCAAGCTAACATGGGGGGCCAACTCAGCATTAAGGGGGGGGGGGGGCAAGGCCCTCAAAAAAGAATACAAACCGACACCTATGAGTTAATGTTTGTGGATACCTGAGCTGCAGCTTCAGTGGTAAACGGAGGTCGTTGGAGCAACAGATGTCAAGGATCCATTCGGGGCTTCCTGCTACTGAGAGAAACAGTGGCTTTGAGGTAAGAGGCTGAGCATCCCTCGCGTAGGCCTTTCGCATTGCCCGTTGCACCTCGGACTTAGCACACTGATCGGTGGACAGGGATAAAATAAAACCCGTTTTCTTGTCATCATATTGCATATAAGGCTCGCTGAGGGTGCTAGAGGTATTCAAAAATGCCATTTGCATCCGTTGATATCGATATTGCATGGGTTTTGCTCCACATAATTGGGATCATGTTAGAAAGTGCGAGTTTTGCACCGATTATAATCATGCCAAGGCAATGGAGGTCGCCAACGCTTTCAGCTGATTGTACGATGACGTCACAAAACCAAAAATGATATTGCTTCAGGTGCGTGAAAAACCATAATATCGATAAGTGTAGGGCTACAGGGATGCAGTTTTGCGAAGTTCGTAGGGGTGAGGGACGCAAGGAGAAGGGGGGCGGGGGTGCAGGAAGTAAAAATGTCTGAGCCTGCCTCCGAGATGCAACAGAAATGTTTTTCTTCCCCAGATTTGTGGCTGGCAGCAGGGGTGTAGTCTCCCATCATTAATTTTTGGATGCTGAACCCCTAATTTACGACAGATGAAAAATAATGGATAGTGATGAAAACTAAAAATAGGAAACTGCATCGCTGGTTAAGAATTACAATTTCGCCTCCCCTTCCCCCCTCAACTGAACAGAGAACTGAACGCCTTTAGGCCGGTTATGTTAAGTATGCCTTTATATGATGATTCTGCTAAGTCAGACGCAGCCTTCATTCAGTGCTTGGTGGCCAAGAAATGAAACTACAGTGCAAATGAACTTCCCGAAACGATAATGTTCGCTGGTTATGCCGCATTACATTCAAGCTGCTTCTGCTTCTTGTGGATTACTGCATTTATATGTATACTACAATGGTTTCTGAAGGATTTGATTCCAGGCGACGATTCAGACGGTTACAAATTTCGTGGGAGACAGAAAGACACTTTTTCAGCCCTGTTGGTAGATTTTAAAGCAATCTATCCTGCAGACGCATTTAAGTAATACTTCAGTTAACTACATTACCATGAACTAACCCGGCTCGACTCCTCACCTCACTAAGCTGATGATTAGTCGGAGCGGAAAAGAGTAATATAGGAGATAGCTCATGCAGCATTGCCAGCTTCTGGTTCTGCAAAGTTTGAACGAGTTCACATCTAGAATTGTTGTGTTACCAGAGGCGTGTTGAACGACGGATCACAATATATCCAGGAATGAGCAGGCGCGCTCTCATGATTCATCACGGAGATAAAAGGGACACCCTAAACGGCCTGCTCCTTCAGAGTATGGTCACGCAGGTCCCCAACTTTGCAGACAACCAGAGAGCATGTTGGGTTAAGGGTCGCTGTCCGCCGGACGTGTCGGCCTGGTCTCTGGTTAGGATGAACCTGTCGTTGCTTTGCGGAGTGACTTGTCGAATAGCAGTGATTGTAGTGTCGGTGTCGGGTTGCGAGCACTGGCTTCGGAAGTGAACTACATCGCCCTGTACAGATACCCACCTGAGGAATAGCCGATCCGGCGAAAGGGTCCTCCAGGCGAGTAATGGCGGCGCCGGTAGTACCTAGTCCGCTGCTGGGAGCGGACGGTACAGGCACGAGTTTCCGTAACTAGGTCAGAGAGCACCAGGAAGGAGTGACTCTGAAACGATAGATGATACAGACTAGCACACCTTCGAATTGGGCCACACTTCATTGCAACTAATGTCATGGTGGGAGCAGGAATTAAAGAAACACAGCACAGACGAGTTCAACTTTCTCACGCGGATGCCTCAAAAGAATACATTATACTTGCCCCCCAAAATTTGTCACGTATCAGGTATCTGGCAATGCCGAAAACAAGGGCGAATATCAGCGCAAATGATAGGGGGAGAGGAGGAAGTGCTGGCCAAGAGCCTGACAACCTTACTTCTCTCCATAGCTGTGTTTTTCAACCATTGCGCACAGTTCGTTACGAAGAACGACAATTTTTAGTTACATTTTTGCATCTAACACTGAAAAGCAAGGACCATGCAATTCTGTCTTTGAGTGGAAACAAGTCTTGTCCACGAAATAATGCGTGAAAAGGCAGGCTTGACCAGTATCCAACCATATCTTCAGCTTCACTAATACCTCAGCTCAATATATTGGGAGATCCATGTGTACAATGTCGGCTCAGACCCTCCTTTTGACTAAAATAGTGCAACAAATGAAAGAACTAAGTATCACACAGACTTATCTTTCCGGGCATTATTTGGTGCCCACAAGTGTGCCAAACATGCTGCTCACATTAACAGGAGACTGATAGCTAAAAACAATCTGAAAATTAAAATCACTGTTAAATCGCCGTCGTCCAAGGCAGGTCCGTTCAGAAACACACACATTGTGTAGATGGTTAGGTGGCAGGCGTTCAGAATGGTTTCCCAGTCATTTACAAAAAATTAACGCCCCTGACCAAAAGCATGTGTACAGTGATTCATCCAAACCCATGATCATACCAATATCAATCATTTTACCGCGCAAGCCAAGCCATGGTATTATAATGCCAATACATTTTCAATCAACCGACGTCAGCTATCGAGGAGTGTCACTCACTTCAGTTCCATTCAAACTACAGCATGGTGTACAGCCAAGGCCTGGTCACATTCAGGGAAGCTCAGAGAGTCGCATGTATAATAGCGCACCGCCACAAGTTGGCGAAAATCCTTATCATTATCAACAAAATGTCAAATTACATTGTTTTGAGAAAATGTTTATTCCAAGCAAATGATATTGGCTTTTAAAATTGTATTCACTAAACAAAGCTAACTCGCCACCTAACATTAATAAGTTATTATGGAAGCCTAATGTCGTAGGCAACATGCTGCATATTGGCTTGTATTACGATTCATTACGTTTTCATTATGTTCAAAACTTCGATTCACTGGCGATGAAAACTGCATTTTATTATTTTATCTCTCAGGCAAGAAGGACTTCCGGCGACCGATAACTGCCCAAAGTAAGATACAATAAGTGAATGTAAAGTATGATGTGTAAGGCTCTATCGTGTAATAAGCGTGTGACGCGACTACACAGTTGGTTGGCATCGTATGGCTTTCGTGAAGGCAGGGATGGCAGTTACCGATACCTGACAACCTTAGATCTCAGGAGTGATCGTTTTTTGTTATTTTTGCCAACTTTGGTGCGTAAAAAGGTAAGTTCTGGTGTGACTTTGGTTTGGCCAAATAATCTTTCAAAACACATCATGTTTTGAGCGTCTGGTCTTATACCAGTTGAGATGCCTGGACACCATTGACTTCCCAAGATGGAAGCTCTTTCTGTGAGTGTGACAATATTATTCTACCAGCATGTGGCCAGGCGCTAGTTGGACACCATGACACAGTTTCAACGAAATCAGGAGGGTTAACACTTAGTCGATTATGTTCAACAGGCAAATATCATGTCATCCTTGCCGACGTGCATGCAAATATCATGGCTCGGTAGCAATATTTGTAGTGACTTCCATGTGGTCCTACGGCCTACGGAACTAGTTTTACGAAACTTAAATGCATTTGAAGAACATAGCCTAAATGATTACAGTTATGCTACGCTCTTCTGAAACGCCTTTCGACTTCGAAATCGGCAAAGTTTACAGAGCACATGCGACGATTATGAAAATAAAGCTCGAGGGAAAGCGTCATAAAAGCTGTGAATAAATGGCGATTAATGTTTGACCACATCTAGCATTGTTTCTTTGGCTGACGTGCCATATCATATCCACCAATAACAGGCTAGGCACACATAAGCCAGGGATTTAGCCTATATGTTGGCATGTAAATGCCTGGAAATGAGATGTAGTACTGGCTCCTCGCACGTCAAGGACGTGAAAAATCATCGGCCGGCACGGCTCCGTTTGGCAATAGAACCAGCGACATGTGGTCCAGAACAACTGAACCATGACGGCTGAATCAGGGGCAGCTGAGCCAGTAAAACATAACCTAGTGACAGCTGACTCAGTAATAACTTGCTGTATGACAACTGGACCAGTGGCTTCCGAGCCAGTGACAACTGACCCAGGGCAACGGCACCAGTGCCAACTATCCCTGTTCAACTAAACCAGAGACAACTGAACCAGGGACAACCGAACTAGGTACAATGAACCAGAGACAGCTGAACCAATGACGGGTAAACTGCGGACACTCTCTGGTCGGCATTTGGCAGCCCGTGGGTTCCACGCCGCTAGCAATGCCAAACAGAGCTTGGCAGAGATTCTGAGACTCCCGACTGATGCCTTCACGGGAGCCGATCTGCAGTATGAGAGTGCCGCGTGGTTGGTCCTACTCGGCCAAGTGACGACAAACGTCCTGAGGTTTTGCGGCGCACTGGCCCTTACCATTCTACGTCAATCTGAGACGAGGACGAGGGCAGCTCTTTCATGGCTTGAAGCGTCGCCCGCATCTCGACGACTGAATTGAGCAGCACTAGGCCAACACCATTGTGACAAGTGCAACGACGCACCTATGTAAAAAGCTACCCAAAACACAGCGTGTAAACACCTGCTCGGGTGGGGTCAAATTGACCACCCCGAGGATATTTCCGGAACGGTTTCCGAACGGCGCGGCATAGCGGCGCCAAGTTTTGCGTACCAATAAATAATTGAATAGCAGATCATGTGGCATCAAAAAAATTAGATGTACTTTGCAAGATCGCTGGCATAAGGCAGGTCAACGTCACGCTATCGATTTAGCGGAGTCGATTTCTGAGGAATTGTTCGATCTGGTAAAATATCGGGGTGTTAGACGAATCCATGCATCTGAAAGATTTCCTTAGGTAACACACCAAATGAAGGAACGAATTCTATTGACCTAGGGTCAGACGTAAGGGTCAGACCAAGGTCAAAACCAACCTGTTTCATTGCTCCAGAGCCTGCTGTGTGAGGTAGTTTCTGGTGCTCCTTTGAATTTATTGATAATGGGAACCGCATAGAACACTTTCCATGGAATTCTTAAATGTAAAAACAAGTCACTGATCTGGAATGACCCAAGTCAACATTTTGTTTTTAGAAGCATACTGCCTGGCGTAACCTTTGTCGCTGTTTCGTATACAAAATTCAGGGCAGTCTTCTTTGATTTTGGCAACCGTAACCTTAGAAAGGTCAAGCAAGGTAACTTAAGTTAAACGAGCATGTAACTTTTTACTCAGAGCAGGTATCTAGATTCTGCACATGCTTTGAAGACAATTTTTAAGTTTGACCTTGTTTGACCTTATTTGGCACGAAATTCATGACCTAGGGACCTTAAACTCTGACCCAAGTGAGTTTATGTACGGGCCAACACACCCTATGAATATGGTCTCTTTAGCTCTCTTTTGGATTATGAGATCTCGGGGGTCAATTTTACCCCCACCCGAGCAAAGGGTATTCAACCGGCGGCCCGGGCTCGTGTTAATCGAAAGGAGCAGGAGAAGTACATTTTTAACAGAAGGGCATCTGCCTAAGCGTGTTTGCAGGAATTAATTTGCAGGAATTAATCGCATGGTCAAGCGTCTTGACAGAGCTGTTGCCATGCCAATGTAGCTTTATTAAGCAGCCCTTAATCTTTGTTCGGTTTTTGGACCTCACAGCATACACTGACATTTTTCAGTTATTTGTCGTCGTTTGGACTGTTTTACATGGTGACGTTGCACACTTGTTTTATCTTCTAGTATGTCAAGAGTTAGATATGGTCCTCGTTGTAAATGCTAGTGACGCTGGTTTTAATAATCTCGCGAAGACCCGTTTACCGAATTCGCCTGACGATAGAGAATGCACCTCTGTCCCACTTTATTTCAAGAAAATGCGCGTGCATGTAATATGATGAATGTAGGAAATAACACCTTTTAAACATACCAAACGTAACTAAATAATTAATACATTGGGAGAGGGGGCGCTACGGGTTGTGAGTTTGGGGGCAGGAATTTCCGGGGGCCTACTGGACAAAATGGGATCTTCTTCACACGGGGGGGGGGGGGGGGGACTCCTTGGCAGTGTGGTATTCAGCGGGGAGCGGCACCGAGGGCATGTGCTCTCTTACCAACCTGTTATATGCATCATATCAAAGAAAGTCAATGTCGACAGATAAAAGATTCTGAATGGGGCCTTTTAATTCCCCAGGAAACGGTCTTACAACCAATAGCAGGGTCCCAAGCCCCAAGTAAAGAGCCTCCTGATGTATAGAGGGACCCCATTTTTGAGAATGGGATGCTTGCGATTAACGAGTGGGCTTCGAGTACAGCCAAGGGGCCTCAACACCGCAAAGCAAAGCATCGTGATCCGAAACCGCAGCCATCTGACGCATGAAATGGGCTCCCTGTTCTAGGAATACGCCATCGAGCGCATAAAACGAGCATCCTGAATGAAAAGAGCGGTTTAATACGGAACATGGGCCTTATCGTTTGTAACTGGGCCTCCCTTGTATCGTAGCAGGGTCCCATAAAGGGTACCATGCAGCGCGTCTAACATCAGTTCCTCCACACGACCTAAAACACTGCATGTTTGTTCGTCACGATAGCTCGGTTTGTTAGAGCGCCTTTATGCCCCTTGACTAATCGGGACGGTTAAGTCTGCTGCCAAGCCGGGAGCGATGAACGAGGAGGCAGAACACTGCTTCCTTGCCACCTGGTGTATCTGCGCAGCTGGAGAGCTTGACATGCATTTGGAAGTATTCCCAGGCAAGCGAGCAACAACAACCCAAAGACATTTGTGCCATGCAAACGCAACGTGTATATGACTGAAAGAGGGAGTGGTGGTACGTTGGTTGGACATCAGACCTTCAATAACTGTGGATATATCTGCAATCGTATATCCATCGACGTCCTCATAATATTCCGTGTATTCATACGTGGGAGAGTAGAATGTTTTCCGGCATGGTCTGACCTCGTGCCGCAGATCGGCAAGCAGAAGCCGGCCAGACTGCTGCGAATTTAGAATCTTCGGCACGGCGGCAGGAGCCGTGAAATCTCGTACTTTGATCAGGCGTATGACTGCACCCAGAATGATTTTAAGATGAACGAAAAATGCATCCGACATAGATCAACACAACGCCGAAATTGGCCCGTTTAAATAAACAATTTTTAGGTTGCGTGAAAGATCCCTTCTCAGTGATGCGTACATGACCAAGCTGGTGAATGGGTCATAACTTGCCGGAGATTTTCCAGCGCGCATGTGTGTTGTTAACTCATACAGCACTGGCAGGACTAAATAACCCAGTGTTGATGCAGCCAAGATGGCTTAGTGATGCACTCCAACGCGATGGCAGATCGTGCTGCCGTCTTTAAGACGCGACGAAGCGACTTCACGTCACAACTAACTAGGTCTATAACTGACTAGGTCCACCGACTAGGTCACAGCTACTACCAACTGGATCCACAAGAGCACTTATTCCCACAGATGAGTAATCCCAAATAAAAAATTGTACTTACTCGATAGCATCCACATATTGCCGACCGATTTCCATATTTTGTCAACTCAACTTGCAACATACGTTCTCTTAAGTACACCGGTCTAACAAGTCTGATCGCTATCTATTCAGTCTAGCCAGCCTCACCGGCGTTCAGTTGACCAAATACTTACACGGAATGCGGTGAGTGAATCGGCGTGTGTAGTCTCCCAATAATATGACAGCGGTGGTGGTGAGAACGGCTGCGATCGCCTCTTCTTCCTAGCCGGCGGGGGTGATGGGAAGCCGGGAGGGGACGGCAGCCCGCCTGGCACACACCACAGAGTAACGTCACCCACACGTGTGACGCGTGTTAGTGACGTCGCCTATGACCTGGCGACGCTGATCGAGCTGCTGACGTTGTTTATGCTCCAGATTTATCGGGGGCGTGTTTGACAATAGCATACGCCTGATGAAAAATAGAAACACGACTGACGTCTGATGATTCCAGTTAGTTTGTAGAAAGTGTGAATAAATGATACTGACAATTTATATGAGTAGTATTATATTTCTAAATTTGGTTAAGTCATTGGATGACCTTTACCACATTATGAACATAGCATAACAATACCTAATTCAAGCAAATGTACGACCCAGACCGGGTCAGACTATTTTCGCTCAAACCAAGGCTTTGCATTACAGTGTTTGACCTTGCAGCAACGATGTCGGTCGTCGGTCGCCACAAATCTCAAGTTCTAAAATGTAAGTAAAGAGGGACTTAAACCGGACCCGAGCATAAGGGCTGCTCAATACACTGACCTCAGACACGTAATGCCATGCCAAAGACGAACCAAAGATAACAACAAAAAAGGGTCACTACAGTGCGTGGCACACTAATGATTGAAGCCATAAAAGCAACTATGCATGTACACGAACCGTCTAGCAAACTGATCGAGGTCCGGTCGCTGGGAAATTTGAACGCGAGGGCATCATCCGAAATGGGCGGCGATGGCGTCGACGGTGGTCCATCTGTGGGCCAGGCAGCAAGCAGGCTTAGAAGCGGTCAACAGCTGGCATGTCCACACTGCGAAGTTAATGTAGCATCCTGGCCAACTATCATATGCTGCGATGCGTATAGGTGGTATGTGCGTTTGACCAACACCATGGCATGTGTACCACAGACGTGCAAAGTTTCTCCTCATGCAGTCGGAAATAATCAACAGCACCGCCATTTCAAAGATGTAATAGGTCTGAACCGAGAGGTTTGACTTGCGGCGCGATTTCAGTTGTAAGACGTGTGCTGAGATATGGGAGGAAGCGCAGACGAAAAGGGATCTCTTATTATTACATTACCACCGCAGCGTACACGGGGGAGGGGGGGGGGGGCTGCCCCATTTACGCGGTCATTAAAACATTCAGTCCTAGTCCGAATGTTCAGCTGCAGATTCAGTTTGATCAAGAGGCAGCGAACTAGCCGACCCACATATGATCATAAACACTTCTATAGCACCACGCAGCGCAGGTTAAAATCCATCACGTGCATAAGGGAGCGCTCCACATTTGAACATATTACATGTTGCATGAGATGTAACGCAGTAATATCACCTATAACTATTATTATGCTTCGAAATGGAAACAAACATTCTAAACAACATAATTTCTCTACTTAGTAACTATCCCCTTCAATACGGCACTGTTTGATTACGCCATGGAACGTTTAAATAACGTTCGAGGTGCTGACAAACTGGCCGTGCAAATTGCCAGCCTACTTCTCACCTTTAGCACTTCAACTTGCCGAGAGGTGGCGGTGGCGGTGCTGTCGTGTTTAGTAAAGTAAATATAAGTATGAACTGGTGTCTTGACCCTCTTTCGTCGTGTTCTTCCATATTCTTTCTGAGTTTAAGTTGTTTGCTTGTGCTGACCTACTCGGTTATCGCATTAATATCAAGTTATTCTATTGAAAGCCCTATTTCTATATTGATTAATGTCCACATCCAACTTCTTGTACTATGCACCACAAAACGCAAGTCGTGCTTAAAACTTGCACTGTCTGCACAACATTGATGCTAATTAATGTCCGTTTTACCTGGAAGCGAAGCTCACGAACGCCAGACCTGAACGACTCGACGATTATATTCTTCTTGACCGAACGTGTCACCCCCAATGGGGTGGGGATATTTAAGTGGTATGTATGTTGCGTTATGTATGCCTGATTTACCTTAAAATAGTCTGCACGAGATACTCTGTATAACTTCACGAGAGTGTAGCTCAGAAGCTAGTGTGTTTTCTGTCTTAAGAACGAAGGGTTGTAAATTGTTCCGAATGATCGTAAGATGGCTATTTCAGTTCAAAACTCTACTCAAATGTGAGGCACCTCTTTTTAGGCAGTCACGGTTAGCACGTGTCCATACCTTTTTCGCTTTTCACGTACATGCGATATGGCTCTCTACAAGTAATGGCTACATTGCAAGCATTTCCAGGAAGTCTTGGACCGTGCCTCGCCTCATGTTTTTGTGTTCCTCTCATGTGGTTGTGTCTCTTTACATGGTTTCGCGCCCCTCTTCACGGGTATGTGCCCTTCCCCATGGTTGTATACGCTCCCTTATCGGTTTGTGCCCCTCCTCATGGCTTTGCTGCCCCTTCTTGAGGATATCCTGTACGCGCTCCCGAAAGTATCCATGTAAATGCCACGCGTCTTGCCCGAAAAACAGCGTGCGCTCCGATGCGGTATTGCGAATTGCCTGAGTCGCACTGACTGAACTCACATTTGGCCCTGCAATACTTGTCGTCGTTGATCCTAACGACGTTATCAATCGAGATGAGAGATCGAAGGCTCTTATAGATGTCAGAAAGCGTGATCTTGTTCTTATCGCCGAGTAGACTCACCGATTTGTCAACCACATCTGCAAACAGATTTCAACGTGATATAACACCACACATTCACCTATCGATTCATTTCATCACGCATTCACCTATTCATTTTGTATCACGCATTCAAATATGCGGAGTAGAAAATGCGATATTTTGTGCTATAAATCAAAAGTTGCACACGTGGAAAGGAACGGTTCTCCTTTCCATTGTGGGAATGCTCAAAACAAGGGTAAACAAGTTACTAAGTCTGCAAGAAGTGTCGTATGACGATATACATCTCCACCCAACAGCGTCTGTTGGACATTGTTATGGGCTGGGTGATCATAGCTATATAATCAATCATAGGCCCACGGACATATCAGTTTCGTTACGCTTTCAGAACTGATCTTCTCACTCGAGGCATTCATCCTATCATGAGAAAATCCGTGAGCCAAGCTGTCTTAAGCGTGTAGTCACATGTTGCATGGTAACACATATGAATATGGTCATTTCTGATGTAAAGCACTGCTCATAAACAGACATGCACATGCAGGGACGGTGCATGATGTGGTCGCTTCAGCACGATGGAGTCATGTGCATGAGAAAATAAAAGAAAAGGGAACTTTAAAAAAGAAAAGGCTGGGCAGATAGCACTTGGTTGACGAGCTCAAGAATTGGTCCAAACGACAGTGAAATGATGTGTATCATGAGATCATGCATGGTGAATGGTCAAACATATGTGGAGTCACTGATGCCTGGATCATTCACAATGGCTCATGACGTCATTCTCTGACTTGATGACGTGGTGAGGGACGTCATTCTCCGGCTTGATGACGGTGGTTACCGACGGTGACTCACCGGCTTGATGACGGTGGTTACTCACACAAATCGTACAAAACCGCCATCAACTTGGCCTCTAGGTAAAGTAGTGGCCGGGAGTACTGAATGTTGAGAGGGAAATACGGACAAACGGAGACGATGAATCACCCATAAACGGAGCGTATGCACCGCTTACCAAGAGCCACCTGTTACCCCGTGGACGGAGAGTACTCGCAACTCGCCGAGAGCTGACTATTACCCCATGGGCGGAGTGCACCCACTGCTCACTGTAAGAAGGCTGTCACCCGTGGACGGAGAGTACCCACCACTCACCGAGTCCACAAAGCGAGCCGGGAGCAGCCGTCACCGTCAGATGCACGGTGTCCCGCGGCTGGACGCGGTCAGGCGACCAGCGCAGCGACACCTGGTTGTCCAGACAGCGCTCCGCAGCGTATGACTGGCTGTCCGCGATCACCTCGCCATCAATCACCATGTAGACCAGAACTTGGAAGCCCGAGGACATGGATGACGTCACTGGGATCGCGAGGGTCACCTGACCTGTTGACGCAGACCGGTTGGTGTTTCCCTGCTGCCCGTGGCTCACCGGTCACATGGGTAACAGCTGGCTGATGACAGTATGCCAGACGCACAAACTGTTACGGGGCTGACATTTTGGTACAGACACATGCAAACTCCAAGATGGCCATAGTTTTCTCACTCCTCAGTCATGCACGGCATGATCAGCTGCGTGGTGTCATCGCCACTCCTTCAGCTATAATGTCCGTTATGTACTGTGTACTGTTCTGGGCCAGGAGCTTCATATGCGGCGGCGCTCGACTGTGTTGGACGCAGTGCGTGACGCTGTAACGGCGCAGAGCGATTTCCATCGCGAGTGCAGCAAAATCGTGCATCAACAAGACAATGAACTCAGGCCAGCTCTTAAACTACTCGCTATGCACCACAAACCGCCCAGTGTCAGGGACATATCTTCAACCGCTCCGTCTATCGTGACACTGATTAGGCGACCCATCCGCACCAGCCGGTGACGCCTCTCTCACCGACGGGGTGTGACCCGGACACCGTGGGCAGGTCAACGACCCTGCCCTCCTGCAGCGCAGAGACGTCGACCGCCTCGGAAAACGTCACCGGCACGAAGTCCGCCAGCAAGATGTCGCTGTTGGCCGTGACCTGACGCGCCCGGCGAACACAAGGTCAACACGCTTCTCTCACCGCAGGCCTCGGTCTTGCTTCGCGAGTTGCAACAGCATGACCGCTAAAGGCACATCTTCAAACAGTAGCAGGAGGATAAGACTGTCCCCTTATCAAGCAAAGCTACTACTGACGCTACTAAATAACGATACCTGGGGTCTAAGCAATTTTTTTCAATTGCAAATACCAGAACACTATGTCTGAAGCCTGATCCGAGTCTGAATGACATAAATACGTTTCCCGTTCATAACACTACCCGAGCGTTCAGCTCCCTACAAGGAAGTGCCTTATTACAACCCGCGCGCAGCATGACTTCTTTATTTGCAGCTTTCGAATGTTGTCTGTACAACACACTGTCAGTCCAGCTCACCTGGTAAAACAGCTCGAACTGCGATTCCAGACGGGTCGTGAAGAAGACGTGAATGTGGGCCTCAGCGCCGCACGTGAACTCTTTGCGGGGCAGCCGAAGCAGCTGCACAAAGGCTCCTGACTCAGAGGACCAGCCCGTGATGTCGTACTTGAGACTGGACGATTTCGGCGTCGTGGCCTGCAGCGCCAGAGTAACCGGGCTGACATTCCACGGAAGTCTGACCGCGAGGTGGGCACGAGTAGCCGGCTGGTTACCCACGCGTAAACGGTCACTGGAATGTCGCTCTCACAGTGGTTAGATTTTACTGACTTTACATCACTGGCATGAAAGTGGTGCCTCTCTTAGTGCATGTGACCGACGAATGGTCAATAAGATACCGCAAGGTACGTCGTCTTCAATCCTGAGATCTTTCCACAATGCTATAAAGAGATAGATTGAACGGCACTGTTATTCAGAACTAAGGGGAAAGGAGCAATATCGCCTTCCTCAGTTCGTAAAATGACACGTGCACGCACGCACGCGCGCAAGCACGCACGCACACAAGCACGCACGCACGCTCATCCACACACACTTCATCACCCTTTGTATTACTACTACCGTCCTCTTTTTTCCTAGCTTTCTGCATGACACTAAACAGAGTAGAATGACTTCGAAAACTAAAAGAAGCAGGTACATTTTGACCAGTTACTGGCTTTGCCCCTACAAAGGGTCTAACAGGGGCATATGCACGATTACGCGACGAAGGAAGAGGAGCACAACTCAAACATTTTGGCTGCTGACCTGGGTTAGCGAGCCGCAGCCACACAATATTTGTTGTATGGTTCAAAACAGCAGCGCGCATACACACTATGCTTATGGTTACGCCTCTGCTCCTGGTTGTTCAGCGTTGACATTTAGTTGCGTAGATATCAATGAATCATATAAGTGAGAGGCACAGGCCTCAGGAGCGCACCATGTGCGCACGTCCCTGAGGCCGATGTCAAACTGAACCAATCAAATGGGAGGCCTTGCCTCCATCACCCGCCTCTCCTTCCATCTCAGATAATCTACGCTTTAAAGGAGATTTCAATTACCTGAATGGATATCTTCTCAATTTCCTGATCCTGAGGCGGCACAGTGAACGCGACCACGCCTCTGCTGTCAGACGTGATGTTCAGACAGACCGGATCTGCAGAAGACCTCCAAACGTACAGTCGTGCAGAGTTATAGAGCATCACTTCTCGAGTTACTGGGAACTTCCCAGTCATTGGGGACTACACTCGCTTAACATGCGTACGTGTGACGTGACCAGTGAATGCGACATGCTCGGGTAGGGGGCGGGGTCAAGTTGACCCCCTGATAGCTCTTAAAGTAGGAAAGTTAGTGACATCTAATATACAGGATGGGTAAGCATGTGTGTAAATTCACTCGTGTACAATTGTGAGGTCCCGTTATTAACTGCGAACCAGATGTGATCAACCATGGGCAAACTTCAGATCGGTGTCAAAGATGCCCTCAGACTCCTCACGAAAGCCCACTTTAGCCAATATACTTGTTTTGACAGGCGCTCGGGTGCGGTTAATTTGACTCCCGGAGATTTTCCCAGGCTGGTTTCCGAACGGCGTGGCGCAGCCGCGCCAAATTGTGCATAACTGTACACAACTGAAGAGTAGATCGTTTGGTGTCAAATTTGGATGAACTTTGTAAGGTCACTAACCTGAGGCGCGTCACAACTAGGCCATGGATTCAGCGCGGTAAATTTCTAGCGAATCGTTCTGATATCTGATCTAATGATAACGATCATCGCTGTATTATCTAAGGCAACCAAGGAGTGTAAGACCCAGCCATACGTCCCTGAGATACTTTCTTAGGCAGCACAACAATTGAAAGAACAACTTACATTAACCTTGGTTTAGGTATGAAGGCCAGATCAATGTAAAAACCTACCTGTTATTACTCTAGGACTTGCTATATGAGGTAGCATCTGGTGCCCTTTTGAAATTTATTGATAACAAGAACCGCATAATGCACCCTCCATGGACTTTGTAAGCTCAAAATAGGTCATTGACCTAAAATGACCCAGTTGAGTATTCTTGTTTTTTTAGGACCAGACTGCCTAACGTAATATTTGTCGCTTATCCAAATGCAAAAATCAAAGCATGATTGCATGATTTTGGCCACTATGACCTTCAAAAAGTCAAATAAAGTCACTAACCTTAAATGAACATGTGAGTTTTTCTTAGGACAGGCACCTAGGTTTCGAGGCACTTTTTAGACCAACCTTGAAGTTTGACCTTGTTGGACCTTACTTGACCCGAACGTCATGACCTATGTACCTCAAATTTTGACCTAACTGAGTTCTATACGGTCAAGGCACCGAGCCAATGACCTTACTTGACCTTCAGAAGGTAACAGTGACCGGAATCCTACGATGCTGTTGTGATCTTTTAAGTTAAATATGCATCAGGTGTAACGTCGTAAGGAATTTAGCTAACACGAATGGGTTGATGGAGGTCATTTTAGACCCGTGGCTTCCTTAGATCTTCTTTGAGTCGAATAAGAGGCCTGATGACGTCTCTGTTACCGCAAATGGAAAGTGAGCGTCACAAACTACCGCAAGAAACAAGCTTTCAAGTATAAAAAGCACAAAAAAGGTTTGTTTTGACATCGATGTGACCTTCAAGTCCGACCTTAAGTCCATGGAATTCATCGCTATTGTGAATTTACTTGTTTTATTATAAAAAACCATCTCAGGTGTATGCGAATTCGTCCAACACTCCGTTGTCGCATCAGATTGAACCATTCACCAGGACCTGCCTTCGCTGAGTCATGACCTAAATTTTACTTGGTGTAGGTCAGGGACCTGACAGCTTATCAATGGTTTTACACCGATTAATCGGCTAGCAAATACCCTGCAGTTGCGCAAAGTATGACGCTGCTTTGTAACGCTGTTCAAAAGTCATCCTAGAAAACCGTTCAGAGGTTAGGTTGACCACCACCCAAACCACGTCCTTTCTCGATTAAACACGTCTATTGTCTGTTATCTATATATCTGTGCGTACCGAACACTAGAACTGTCAGCTACTTCAAATTTCACGAGGGCTGGAAGTTGATTAGTTCATTTGCTTGTGCCGGTCATTTACATCCAGGTACTTTTATTTCAGCGATGGTCAAGCCTCAAGTTAGATATGATCCTTGCTTGAGATCACCGTGTTAGCACATGCCAACGGTCCACGTGTGAAGTGGCACATAAATTATAGCGTTGTAACAGTGCAAGTTAGATGGTGTGCTGTGGGAAATTTCCCGTTTTTTTGCCGAAGGGGAGAGAGGCTCCAAGAGTGGTTTTGAGCGCCGCGGCTCACGTACCAGGCAATTATTTTGGCCCCGTTACTAAGATACTATTTGAGGTAGGCCGAGAGTGCCGGTAATGCCACATCAAATTCGGCGATAATATGGCCTTAAATTTTGACAAATCTTTTACGAAGGTCCAAATAAAAAGCGCTGAAGATGTTGATCTTGTTTAATACCGCACTGAGTTGATACGTGGATACTCCAGCTAAATTCCTAAATCAAATGATTACTTGATATCCTCACCTCATCGATTTTTCTTGGGACATCGGAGTTGGGTTATTTTCTGCAAGATAGCATACAATACTCAAGCATCAGTGCACTTCTGTTTGTAAAGCTCATGACAGGAAGCACTGATAACGCTTAAAAGCACTCACGTGGTGCTGATTCCAGCCTCTGTCGTCGTCCAATGGGTCTCAAAACACAGCTGGACCAGCTCACCGGGAGCTGGTGTGCTGTCCGGGTGGCGTACCCTGATCTGAACGTGGAAGCAGACACAGCCGAGTTAGGGACGGAGCCAAGCACTTCCCACTACACTTGACACAGCTGAGTTAGAGACGATGCCAAGCACTTCCAACTAGACTTGACACAGCTGAGTTAGAGACGATGCCAACCACTTCCAACTACACTTGACACAGCTGAGTTAGAGACGGAGCCAAGCACTTCCAGCTACACTTGACAAAGTTGAGTTAGAAACGGAGTCAAGCATCTCCAGCTGCACTTGACACAGCTGAGCTAGAGACGGAGCCGCTGAGCACCTCCAGCTACACTCGACAGAGCTGAGTTAGAAACAGAGCCAGGCACCTCCAGCTACAATTGACGCAGCCACTCGGTAGCAGAGCACCAGGACAGACATACTTGGCATACTGACAGACAAGCTCTGTTACTTATGGATGGTACAGCACGCTTAGCAGGCTTCCTCGAAGTTGGTGCATCTATGCACATGGGAGTTTCGCTGCTGCCGCGTCTAGCGTGCGTTTATCCCACATCTGAGCGGGCGGGGGGGGGGGGGGGGGCTGACCCAGGATAAGGTCACAAGATCGCATTTTGGGCGTTGAAATACTTGTGGTAAACAAGAGACACAAGGCACTTTGCGTTATTATTGATACGGTTGCGGTATCTGATAACGCGCTGAGTTGCAATGCAGCACAAGATTCAACGGTCCCCATCTGAGCACCGAGATTAACGTATCAATACCATAATTAAAGAGTAATCCTGCAGACCATTTACAAGCCTGCTGCAAGTTACGAGCACATTACATTCGAAAAAGGAAAGATAGAGAAGAGAGAAGTGCAAAGGCAAGGAAGAAACAGAAGAATACACCAATTATGTTAAGAGAAAAGCTCGGACAGTGTAATTGCCGACCAATTCATATTCTTTCGTGTTCTCCCAATATTCTGGAGAGCCTAGCGTTGAGAAAAATTTCCTCTTATGACAAATAAAACAAAATTATCTGTAAGAAACTGTGAGGCAACAAAGACACCTAATCCAAGTTGAGGCCGTATATGGCGCATCAATGTTGATGCACACTGAACATGAATGAATCAATAATGTGTCTGGGTATGTATGTCTCCAAATATTATAGCAATATTCCACGTCCTGGTAATATGCAGTGCAAAGTTCAATGTGGCCCCGTCGGTACTCTCCTGGCATGCTTCAACCGGTGTATTAGCCACCGGAACCAACTGTTCGCTTCGGTGAAGGTCATTGAGAGCCCAAACCATCCCTGCTGGCTGCGCTCAGTCTAAGGACAAAATACGATAATGCCATTTTCCACGCGGACAGTGTCTCTGCATGTCTCCATCCACATATCAGTGAGGAATCTAAACTTTTTTACAACACGACCTCGATGCCTTCCAACAACTTTGCATTCAGTGGGTTTGGTGCATACGCACCCAATCAGTGAAGGGAAGTCCTGGCTTGAAATAATCGCTTTTCAAGAGGTCAATCTCGAGGTTCAGCTCCTGGTATGCTATGAGGAACGTCTTGGTGCCCTTGATTGTGACTTCAGTGTCATCCTCTGTGAGTTCGGCGGTGGCCTCCAGCCTGTACGGCCTTTGGATTGTTTTTCCGAAGCCGAGGTCACTGCCGCTGACTCGAAACACGGCACAGTCGGCCCCGGACGTCTGTCAAAGCGTTCACTGGAGTCAGACGGAGCCGCACCAGTCAGTGGCCGTCTGGGGGACGTCTCAGCACGCAACACGGTCTCCACGGGTGGCCAACCAAGGCAGCTTTATATGACGCAGGTGCTGGTATGCTATGCATATTGCGGCATCCATGCATATCCTGCGCCACTTAAACAGAGGCGGATAGTTGACGGTACGTCATGAATTAAGGCGCTGGCGTAAAACTTTAAAAGTTTTAAAGCATAAAAACTGATTGCTCACGTACTTTTGCGGTGAAAACAAGGTTATTTCAAAGACGTAAGAAGCATGTCCTGTTAAAAGCGATAAGAATGTGGCATTTATTGTTTTGCTGAGTAGCCAAAAGTGACAGCCTAAAGTGACTCGCCTAAAGCAAAGTGTCATGCTCGAGCTAAGTAAATCTTAACTGACCGGACCTCATCTCACAGCGAGGGGTGACCCAAATGCTATGAAGGCTGGCAAGGCTCCCTAAAGCATTCGAAGGATACTTAAGATAGTCTTGCGATCGACCCCAAAGCTTCTCAGTACCTTCTTCGGGATTCTTGAAGACCTTTAAGATCTGTGAGGTCCCGAGAAGTCAAGGACACAGTAACGTAAGGGTACTGGATGTGTCTCTCTCTCTCTCTCTCTCTCTCTTCTCCTCTCTCTCCTCTCTCTCTCTCCTCTCCCTCCTCTCTCTTCTCTCTTCTCTCTCTCTCTCTCTCTCTCTCTCTCTCTCTCTCTCTCTCTCTCTCTCCTCTCTCTCTCTCCTCTCGCTCTCTCTCTCTCCTCTCTTCTCTCTCTCTCTCCTCTGCTCTCTCTCTCTTCTATTCTCATCTCATCTCTCTCTCTCACTTCTCTGTCCATCCTCTCCCTGCTCCTTCACGTGTCACACTTCTGGTACTCTCCTCTACCGCGTTATTTAGTATCTTCATGTAGATGACATAATCGTTGCCTCCTCCTCTCTTGCACCGGCTTGTCGTAGGTGTATCTAAAATTGGTTGCAGTTGTCTTACATCGAACCTAAAGTAAACAACTTTCCAAAAGCACTTGCACCTAATGGACTAATAACGACATGCATCTACAGACAGCACACTTATATTACGGCGAAGTTATCACCATTTTAGATGCTTGTAAACGTAGGAATCCGTGTCACCACACATACACCTCACCCTAATGTGGTACGGATCAGCAACCGGTTCAGTGGGTCATCGGCACAGTATTCACAAGGGGTAAGCGGGCACGCATGACGCGATTGTCCACCCGTCAACGGCGTCCACAATACATCTCGGAACATGACACTTTGGCACCCACCTTCCGCACACCTTCAACGTCACTTCTTTGGCGTTGCCCAGAATGAATGGAGGACCCTGGATGTTGACCTCGAACCTGGGAAGCAGAAACTCCTCGACCTTGAATGGCTTTGTCACCCTACGCCCGCCGCTTGTCGCTACGTGTATGTTCCATTCACCCTGCAAACAACGAGACGAGGAATAGACAGGCTTCCGGGCCACCAGCCAGACGGTACAGGAGATCCCCAGTGGTGATCTACCGACAGATTGCACTGAGCAGCTTTGCATGCTAATCCTGCAGTGACTGGGTGGCGTGTCCGAAGGATAAAGCGTTTTGAGCGAAGCTGGAAGCAACCAAACCAAAATACCAAATGTGGCATGGTTTAAGCATGCTTGACTGAAGTATTCGAGTAAAGATATCGATAGCCCTCAAATACATGGAAATCTAAGCAAAATAGACCATAAATCTTTTTGTCTGCAATAGTGTCTTTAAGATGGTTTTAATATATATTTACGTATCAACACGGATGTTACAGGCCTTCAGTATACCAGGACATGACGATTAATCAAAGGTATTAACACGCCAGTGGAAAATATTGCAAACTCTGCAAATGTTTATCCACCAAAGTTCCTTTGTTGGCTGAGCCCTTATCTTCCGATTCACCCATCCGTGGCGGAGGGTGATCGAGCCCTTTCCACTGACTTGGAATTACCCTATTGGAGGGTGGGGTGGCTGCCCCTCCCCCTGCCTCTCCAACTTCCACTGGCGACACATCGCTGAAGGCAGAAAATCGCTTGCATGTGTAATTTTATGATTGCTTAAAATACATACCACTCGACAACATGTTCTGTTATCCTATAACGTCTGGCAGAGGGACATCAAGCACCAATGTTCCAGCGAAAAGGGAAAAAAAGATGTCAGCGCTCTTAACTGTGTAATCATACTATGCAGTCGTTTTAAACATTAAGTCACACATCAGGTTTTAAATACATTAAGAACCAGCAGAAGCTTGGCATCAATGCTGGTACAGTCTTTGCAAACTACTGATTTCCTGGAAAATTCTGGAACAGGAATTCCATATCTAATATGAATTTGATATGGACCGGTAGAAACTCAACATGCATATCAAAGTAATCACTCAGAACACGCGGCCTTTGAAGACCGCTGCTTCCGCGCGAAAGTCTACGCCTCTGTACGCTGATCGAGCATATATGCTATGCTAATATTATCCATGTTTCAGCGGCTTACGTCATGAGTCATGTAAACCACGAAATGATAATACCTAATGTCTTGTCTTATCATATCGGTATGTCTCGCATAAATCACTGATTTGGCTTGGTGCAGTCACATCTGCACTAGTTTGAGGGAAGCATGGCGACTTTCATGATCTGAATGGCATTTAAAGGTAAATTGCAGTATGTGAATCAAAAATTTCGGGCTGTAACATCATGCATGCCTCGACCATCAGATTCTTGTATTGAAGCATCTGGCCCATAGAACATACTGTATCTAGAGTTTATTCGTTAACAAGGATTTGTAAGCTTCTACCCTATCACTTAACGTACTTTCAGAATTACGGCTTGAAATACGATGGATTTAACCATATACAACTGGCAAGTTCTAAATCACTGTTGCTTAGCTAAGATATTTGTCGACTGCATCCATTACAAGCGGAAAACGATACTAAGCATATATATGTAAAGAGCCGATGCTTTATAATAACCACATTCATCACATAATAGTGCGGCGAAGTCACATGCATCACCGAATATGGTTTATGCGTAGGCATCGGGATTTCGAAACAGAGGTATTTAAATGAATATGCAAACGAAAAACAGCGCGGCTCCGTTCATTTCTAGCACAGCCCGTAACTGACAAGCGAGATGGTAATCACGAGTGGCACTTTGTATATATCATGAGCCACTCAAGCTCCCCCCTCCCCTCTCGCACAGTAACCACACTGTTCGCCGGACACGCTACGTCTGCACCTATATCACTCACACTGGGTCACATAGGACTGTGTTCATCGGCCAGCTGCATCTCCAGCTGCACCACTCACCTGGCTGGACTCCTCGGTCCGCTGTAACCCCATTTGCACCACTCACCAGACTGGGTTCCTCGGCCAGCTGCATTTCCAGCTGCACCAGCCCGCTCTGACCAGTCACATTTGTCCACTGCGCCACCCTCGTCCCGGCTGGCGATTCGATGTAAATCTGCGGCAACTGAAGACAGTGGGAAGAGAGAGAGTCAGCTAGACCAACTGGCTGGGCGACCGACGGACACTTGGATGGCGTAGTGGGATATGACACCAATAACGCACGGCTAGGGGATAATTAATTCAGTTACGCTAATGACCTTACTACCGGCATGCATTAACCGGGGGCATGAAGAAGTATGATCCTGCTTGCACTGCGCATGTAAGAACCGCCAGGCCCCGCCAGTCTTCCGAGTTCATGGGACGGGGATGGTATATATATATATATATATATATATATATATATATATATATATATATATAATGCGGTTTATTATGTTTAACCATGTTCAGCCAAGCCATGCAGATAGTTTCCCAGGCAATGAAACAATTCAAGTCATAGTTAAGGCCAATTACACTAGGCCAGAGTTACGCATGTACGCCGGACCGAGGTCAAAACAGCTTGTTTTACTCGAAAGCTTGCTGTATGGGGTGGTTTCTAGTGCCCCTGTTCATTTACCAATTACAGGAGGAACAGCAGCCGTTTTCCATGGACTTGTTAAAGGTCTGGTTAAGTCACTGACCTCAAATGTCGCAGGTCATTTTTACTAGGAACATACCACCTGGTGTAATTCCTGAAGTCTATTCCAATGGTAAAGTAGAAACAAGATTGCAGGTTTTTCGCTCTCTTAGTTTTTGAGACTTGGAGTGTCAATGGGGTGCAAAGCCCCCTCCGCGTTCCCGCCGTAGCCGAAGAGACTCTCTCTTTCTCCCCTCTCTCTCCTCTCTCTCTCTCTCTCTCTCTCTCTCTCTCTCTCTCTCTCTCCTCTCTCTCTCTCTCTCTCTCTCTCTCTCTCCTCTCTTCCTCTTCTCTCTCTCTTCTTCTCCTCTCTCTCTCTCTCTCTCTCTCTCTCTCTCTCTCTCTCTCTCTCTCTCTCTCTCTCTCTCTCTCTCTCTCTCTCTCTCTCTCTCTCTCTCTCTCTCTCTCTCTCTCGTCTCTCTCTCTCTCTCTCTCTCTCTCTCTTCTCTCTCTCTTCGCTTACTCTCCTCTCTATCTCTCTTCTCTCTTCTCTCTCTCTCTCCCTCTCACTCTCCTCTCTCTCTCTCTCTCCTTCTCTCTCCTCTCTCTCTCTCTCTCCTCTCTCTTCTCTCTCTTCTATCTCTCTCTTCCTCGGGCATTCAGCTTGATTTTCATGAGTTTTTGACTTTTGATAAACTGACAACACGTCTTTTCGACTACTTCAGAACAAGAAAAAGTCGCTTACGCCGGAGACGCCCGACCATACGGTGAAACTTACCGGCTCCGAAATCGGCCTCAGTTTCCCGTTGACGGAGAGGACGCGGAAGCGGACCAGCTGACCCGGCTTGTACACGTACTTGTCTGTCTGAATGAAGACATGATCTTCAGGCGTGTTGTCCGAACTGAAACGTGCGACATTCGTCTGTGTTGCCAATGTTTTTTAAAAATTGTATTGAGGGCGAATGTATTTCGGTTCAATGTTTTAGACATAATAATCGAATCCGGTACTTAAGAGCGCACACATCACGTTTGTGAGCCGGGTAGGCGGATATCAGAGTACGGCTACCATGCAAACCTGGCTTCACCTTCGAGACAACAGTCGCACGTGAGGACGAACATCAAACACGCGTGCTACACAATGGTCCATTGGTCACACACTATACACAGATGGACTCACTATAAGCTGTTATCAGCATTATGGTATTCTCCAGCCGTGTATACACCCGGCTGTGGCGTCAGGTTTTCCTTTCAAATGAAATGTTGAATTTTCGCAGCTTGTGTCACAAGGGGTTCTGTCTTAAGAAAAAAACCTTGTTTGTAGATTAACACGTGCACGGGTGGGGGTCAAATTGTCTCCTACCGAGGGTTTTTCCAAAATAGTTTCCGAACGGCGCGGCGTAGCCCTGCCAACTTTGGACTGGCTGTAGACATCTGAATAGTGAATTGTGTGGTATCCAAAAACTGAAGGTACCTTGTAAAGTCGCTGACCTGAGGAAGGTCAATGTCAGATTATGAATTCAGCGAAGTCAATTTCAAGGGAATAGCTTAACCTGATGAAACAACGGAGCGCTAGACGAAGCCATACATCTCTGAGATAACTTTATAGGCAGCACGACAATTGGATGACAAATTAAATTGACCTAGGGTCAGATATGAAGGTCAGACTAAGGTCAAAACCAATCTGTTTTATTACTCCAGGGTTTGCTGTTTGGGGTAGTTTTTAGTACATAATATGAACCACATTAGACATCTTCCATGGACTTATTATTGGTCAGAATAGGTCACTGACATAAAACGACACATGTCAACGCTTCGTTTTTAGGAAAATACTGCCCAGCTTAATCGTTGTCGGTTATTCAAATGCATAACTTAAAGCAGTTTTCTGTGATTAGGGTCACCATAATATTCGGATCAAGCAACGTCACTGACCTTGTATGGGCATGCGACCTTTTGCTTAGAGCAGGTATTTGAGTTCTGGGGACACTTTGGATGCCAACTTTGAGATTGACCTTGTTTTGACCTCACTTGACCCAAATGTCATGACCTAGGAGACTGAAACTTTGACTTAATTTAGTTCATGTACAGGCCAACACATCCTGTAAATTTGGTGGCCCTAGCTCTCTTAGTTCCTGAGATCTCAGGGGGCAAATTGACCCCTCACCCGAGCGAACGGTATCCAACCGGCCGTCCGGGAGCGTATTCAAGGGCGTCAAACAACACATCGGTGTAGCTGTGGCCCCTATTATTTCTGCAATATACACGCTGATTTTCGACGAACGAAGGAACACGTGCCAAATCATCATTGGTAGGCCAAGACGCTACACCAAAAATGCTTTTCGCAGTGTTCATAAAGAACAATATGTTTAAGTGTCCACATATGCACTAAACCATTTGCACGACGCCTTCAGTACACTGTAGTGACTAGACATTTTTCTTTGACTTACAAGACAGAGATGTATTGATTTCCCGAGATGGTGTAGTTGACGGCGGATGGGTAAGTAACTTCCAGACCCATCCAGACAGTAAAATCGTTGAGATCTGGTGTTTGAACCTCAAAGCATGTTTCCTTGGACCCACCTGAAATACGGCATCGTGTTAGCGACACGTGTATCTGAACACCGTAGGGAGGATGGGGGCTTAACGAAGCCATGTTAGCGCGAGGAGCCGCCGGTTTCGCTCCAAGACGCTGAGCCGACTGATGGGTGGCGTGGCCAGGAAGCGCGCTCATGGAGACAGATGGTGTGGCTGGCCTCGCCGTCACCGGATGGGTACATTCAGATCGGTCAGTGGTGACGATGTCAAGCACTTTGTCCACTCGCCGAGAAAGCGAGCAGCGACCGATGATCTCCGGTTGGTCTCGTACACTGCTGTGGTGTCATGTCCCCAGTTACAAGAAACAGGCATATGCACACGAGGCATTCCTTGCCAACCCGCCAGCACAATCAACAAGTTTGTTTACTGACTTTGAGCGTCAATGCATACCCTAGGGGTGCAGTGGCATATCTGAAGCTGTAAGCAGTCGTTCATCATGATAATCATAATGCCCGAAAACATCAAGCACGCTTTCTGACTTGGTGGCCCGATTGGAGTGGTTGAGGGCGCTACATGTGCAGTGTCTCCCAATATAACATTATCCATTCGCATGTCTCTACGATGTTACAAGGGTGACCAAAGTTCCTCAACCCCTGTTATATCTTTTAGTGCTGCCTTTTATAATGCTTTAGTAATGCCGGCGGACGGATTAAAATCGTTGCCAGGCGTTAAGAGACTGGCGGAGCATTTACTAAAGGCGTCGATATACAGCTCGGTATTGTGCCCGACACAAATATATCAGGTCAAATGCCACAAAGATGATATATTCACATAAACTCTTACTAGTTACCTTGGTTTTCAGCTTTATTATTGAACTGTGAGTGTGCACCGTGCACCCAGAATTGCCCTTTAATCAAGAAGGCATATTGAGAAAGCTCGACACGGCCGTAACTAGACTTCTCTCGCTGTTGAAACCAGTGCAAACGGCATCGGTGTCCAGCTCAGACTAGATAGTGAGTGACAAGCTGTGGCCTCACACGTGGTCACGAGGTCCCTGGGCCGCCACACCCCGGCTCGGTACTCACCCGCCACGCCCGACACCTGCTGGGTGTGCTGTGCGACCGTCGGGCTACTCTCACTTCTCCTGAACGTCAGCGTCAGGTCGCCGGTCTCGGGCACGTCGAACAGGATCAGACACACCCGCTCAGGCGAGCCAGCGAGGAAGATATTGGGTGCTGTGAACAGGTACCGGCTGCAACAGCGGACCAACGTTACTGTCAAAGCTGGAACAGCTGGCCAAGCTACTGTTGACATAGACGGGAGCGCTGATCTCCAAAAACCGCATGACGTCATGCACGATGCGTTTGGTGCAATCCTTGCGTTCCACTGGGCAGTTTCACGGTATTGTATGAGCAAAATAAAGAAACGGGTTCCCACCTAACAGATTGCATTGATTCATTGCACGTATTGCATTTTAAGGTTAGTCATCACAACCTTGGTATTTCATTTTACCAAATGTTGGGATAACCCTTCTGTAGTCGCTCATGCGTGTAAAATGTCATTTCGCCTGGTCGTTTTATCATCAGGAAAAACATGTTTGAACGGGGGCGAAAACATAATATTAACTTACCTGCAAGCGGTTAGGATGGGCAAATAATAGGACTGGAATGTGTTGAAACAGTTTTCGAAGGTGGTTGTTGCCGTGCGTGGAGGCTTTGCAGCCCTCAAAACTAGCACTTACTGATTATGGCACTGGTGGTAAAATGATGCAGTTCTGAAACGTTCGAAATGCGTTCTGCCCTCAACTTTGATCTCCGGCAGAAATTGCAGCAGCGACCTCCATGCTGGAAAAATATTTGACCGGCCTTGTGCGGCATTATTTACAAAGAGCTTTCAATAACGATACAGTTATTAGGGTTTCACTTTCCACACCACTTTGTCTAAACTTCTTCTGAAACCCGAACGTTTTACTGCCAACCATGTGACTTTATGCAATGCGCTTGGCAAGCGAAAAGTTTCGCGTCATTCGCTTTGCCCGGTCGCTGACAACCTATGCGAATTCAGCAGACATTTCACAAAATATATTTGTTCCAGCCAGAGGGCATGGTCGTTGCACTTACGTTATAAACCTAAACAAACTATAACTATAATGCATGCAATATGCGATACCAACATAAGAAAAACCCTGTACTTGAACACAATTTTAGAACAATGCACTGTTATCTATTAAATGCATTATTGACCAAGATTCGTTGTGTATGAATGTGATTATTTTCGCAGTTTTTTTGCATTGCTCTGTTGAACATAACAAAGTCAAACTTGGACGTGCTCAGCTTAACGAATGCTGTCATATGCGAGCCAGAAATCCTTTTTTTGCGATTCTTTACGATTCGGTTCTCACAAAGGATCACCTGGTAACGTAACCACGTTCAATATCCCTCATCGTATCATTGTACATAGCTGCCACCGTGATGGCCTGGAAGAGGCTGTGTTCTTAATCTAGTGGCACCCGCCTTAGGTCTCAGGGCAGGCCCACTGTCTGGCCCGATCCACGAAGGTCAGTTGGCTGCTAGCCAGAGAAGGTCACCCTGACACGGCGCAGCCGCCCTGTTGACATTGCACGGCACGAGGAAATGCCTCGGTCGCCGTTTTGGCCCTCATGGTCTGCAGACCACTTGCATACCACATGCAAAAATATCCGCTGAATCTGAACCACTCTATGTGGGTGGATTGGGAGTGTGGTCACTGCGTTCGGCTCTGAATGCGCTCTGAGCTCAAAGGCACCTTTCCACATCACCTCAGAGCTTCCACACAATGAGTCGCACAACGCACCACCTGTGTGCTGTGCGAGTCATTTGATTGGCAATATCTTTTGCTTTTTTAATTCATCTATGTCAGACTCCTAAGCCCGGAAAGGCCACCAACATCGCCTGCCTAACGCCCTTTTTGTTACCAAACGGGAACAACGCGAGTGAAGTCGCATGCGCCGCATACAAGAATGCTGATTAAACCAAGACTCATGGCCATTCTTCGTCAGATCTATTCGGAGAATTCCATGGGGATGTGTCGATCTCTTTTCCGCACACCAACCGGCCGGGCCTCGAGGTGTTGGGCCTCAGGAACGTCTTTGGTCCTTCGTGTGCTGGCGAACTACTTCAGGAACCTGCATGCTCTGCATACGAAAAATAATCAGCCAATAATAATCAACGGGGAGCCCGGGCGAGCACGTGCGGCCCCACGCGGCCTCGCGCGCTCACCGTCGCGTCTGCTGGATTCTGATGCTCGGCGGGGGGCCCCCCCCCCCCCTTCTCCCCCTGGCCCCGCCACCTCCGACCGGAGACGATGGTCTCCACCGCAGCCGTCTGGTCGGTATCAGCGCTGCGGATGGACAAGCAACAAACACCTGCTCCACCGCCGACCGGGCTGTGGTGGAGCGCTGGTGCTGACCTGCCATTTATTGGGCACCGTTTAATGGATCAGGTTCCAGTTACACTGGCGACATTATTACGAGTAACAACACAGGCTGGTCAGTTGGGTCAACCAGATTGGGCTCTTATGGCTTAAGCGAACCGTCAAAAGGCCGGCCAGCTAAGCTTTTCATGAGCTTGTAATCTATGCAACGTCTGATCGCAGCCCTCAGCAATGATTAGCGCAGCTATTTAAGATGTGTGCTGTAGCATTTCCAAAGTATTGGCCAGTAAGCCTTTAGGTAGCGCTGCCGTGCATTATTCCATGCTAGCATACATTAATTTCTCGATAAACTCCATAAGCATGGTAAATATACCCCGATTTAGTTAAAAACAAGGGTGCAGACATCGCCAAGACGAACACTGACCAAGCTGAAGACGGGCAAACGCATTGGCGAGTCTCGCGCAAAATATCAGGTACTCTCGCGCGCAAACTAGCAGGTACCATCGCGCGCGAACCGAGCACCCGCCAGTTTGGGGGCGTTTTTATCAACCGAAGTCAGGTGCTGGCGACCGGAAAGGATGAACACGTGAAACCAACGGTTTAATGTGCACGTCTTAAGCCAATGTACAGGCTACGAATCACACATCGATCTCAAAACTGTCCTCCACACAGGCGCGCTAGTGACCGACCAGAAAAACAGGCAGTAACACATTTTTCCAGACAGGTCTTGAATAAGATTCACTGTGGTTTAAATCGAGAGGGATCCGGCCATATAAACTACGTGCGCTAAGCATCATTCTGACTTGTGTCAGCCGAAAACAGCTGTGCTTGGGTAATGATTTGACCCCAGCTTACAAAACCAGAAGTAATTCCAAATTTTGTGAATTATATCGATCAAAATAGCCAGGCCTGGATGGCTAAAAACTAGCCAAAACACACTGATGGCAATGCATTTGTGCACGGAAGTTATACATCAGTGAGTCGTTTTCTGCTAAGCTCATGGAGGAGAAACGTTTCAATGCATTAGTTAGTATGAATTCCCAAAGGGGACGGAGTCCATGCGCCTTTTGGGACATCCTCAGCGTGGTGATAACACTCACATTAGTCGCATCTCACGCGTACGACGCCGCGAAAGCGTCATACTAGTTAGTGGGTTCATCTGGTGTCGCCGCAATTTTGTGCTGTTTATTGAGTAATGATGGACCGCCAGCTCTGCTGTCTTGGTATTATCATAGCTGTATCCATACCTTGAACCGTGTTCAGTATTAGGGCGGTTCACGACGCACTGTTTTGGCGCGGGTGCGCGCTGCAAGGGTTCGTAGAGCATTCAGAGAAGATGCCAGAGCATATTCAAGTACAGTAGCACAGCGACATGTGAAATGAGGAGCAGCGAGAGACGATGGTCTGATGTTGGGTGCACATCGACAGCATGCCATAATACGGTTTTGCGTGCACGTAGTACGAACGCATTCGCCAGCTTGTGCTCTATGCTCATAAGCGTGGCCAACATCATGTGCTGTGAGGAGTCCGCTGCAGCTTCAGTGGCGGCCAAAATTGTCAGCCAGCCAGCCGTACAGGTAGCAGTTTGCACCGCTACTATTATGATGTATTGTGCTCCCCTAGTTAATGATGATTTATCAATGGTGCACTTTACGTATATCACAGCGGGAAAAGGCCACATCGTAGGGAATTGCTAGACTCTGCCATGAACTTCAATTTGTTCCAAGTAACTCAATCGTTCAGAGAACCTGTCTGCTTCTCTCCAAGCTGTTCGTGGCGGGCGAGAACGCAGGACTCACGATACGGGGACTCGAGTCGCAGGTCGCGGTCGCTATTTACTCGTGACTCGGGTGGCCTGCGACCGGTGGCGGACGCTCCGAGTCTGATAAAATTAGAGGTGGGGACATACCGTGGTGAGCTTTACATCATGTCAAAATTTCGCTCCCAGATTCTGCCGGTAGTGTGTGAATAACACTGCGCTTTCATCACTGGGCTGTCCTAAAACCGCGGTCAAATCGAAAGTCTTGAGAACCAAAGAAAGCAAACGGCTGACATAAAGAAGAAGCAAGAGGATATATCACGAAATTCCAAATCACACAAGTAGCTTGTAATTCATTTCGAGCGTTCCAGGTCAACACACATCCTAGCATAACGAGGCAGGCGAGTACGCTGGTGCAGTGGGAGCTCCTTGATGCAGATACCGACAACAGACCCCTATTGCGGTGCGTTCACCGTTCGCGCCTCTCGTTCAGGTGTCATGTCAGGCGCGTAGTACAATGCGCGTGACAAGTGCCCTACTTAGAGCGCGCTATCATATACTCAACAAGCGGTTCCCCAAGTGCAGTTGGCACGAGGCCTTCTTCCACGCGGTTAGTGCAGCTGAAACGTTTCCATACGCATAGGAACGGCTACTGAAACCTCCTAAAAACTTCCACAAAAATGTATAAAAAACTCCAACGTGTCACACTTAGTTCAGAAAATTTACACGTGTAGTTTTGAGCCCATCCCAATACACAGGAAATAATGCCCACTGGCTTACTTATCTTGTGCATCGCTGAAAATATTTAGAAAATATTTAAGACGAATAAAATAAAATGTTTAAAAATTATGAAAATATTTAGATCTCTGCCACTTATAGCAATAGTGCATATCTACAGACGGCATTGTGGTGTCACCTTTTCCAGCCAAGCAAGTTTTGTTCCTGTTGTGATAAGGCAGCAAAGCGCATGCTGATTTGCACACCAGATCACAGGATGGATTCCATGACAGCCCGAAAAAGCATGGCATGGAATGCTGTGAATAAATCAGTTTAAATGCGGATACAAAATGGCAAAACTTTCCTCGAGGCTTGAACCCGCGCAAATATTTTGCTACACTCTTGTCCAAATGTCCTGTTCTGATGATCGGCCCCGAGGATGGAAGAAAGACGTATATGGTTCACTTACCGCTCGGCGGCCACTACACCACACAGGAGAAGCAGCCAGAGAGGCGTCATTGCCGCCCTCCTGCGACGACGGGGAGCCGTCCAGTGACCCTGCAGCGCCGCCGTCGCCTTGTTGTTACCTCGCCAGCCGGTAGGTGGCGCTGGATAAGAGCGACGTCCGTCAGTCTAACAGCAGATTGATATCCAATTGCCAGTTGGATATTCCGGGTCTCACGGTCGCCTCCAAATTTGGTTTCCATGACCTTCACGACACGTTGATTCCGAAAATCACTGCCTTTTGGGTGGAATTTTGCGTAATTTTCGAGTTATACGACGCATAACATCCCAATGTGATATTGCGAGGTGTCTCGATTGCCTCCAGTTTTGGCGCACAGGGCCTTCTTAACATGCTGATTCCGAAAATCACTGGCTTTAGGGTGGGATTTTGCGTAATTTCCGAGTTATACGCCTCGTAACACAACAGTTGAATATTGTGGGGCGTCTCGATTGTCTTGAAATTTGGTGTGCAGGGCCTTCTCAAAACGCTGATTCCGAAAATCACTGTCCTTTGGGGTGGAATTTTGCGTAATTTCCGAGTAATACGCCGCGTAACACAACAGTTGAATATTGCGGGGCGTCTCGATTGCCTTGAAACTTGGTGTGCAGGGTCTTCTCAACACGCTGATTCCGAAAACCACTGCCCTTGGGTTGGGATTTTGCGTAATTTCCGAGTTATACGCCGCGTAACATCCCAATGCGATATTGCAGGGCGTCTTGATTGCCTCCAGATTTGGTGTGCAGGGCCTTCTCATCACGCTGATTCCGAAAATCACTGTCTTTAGGGTGGGATTTTGCGTAATTTCCGAGTTATACGACGCGTAACATCCCAATATGATAATGCGGGGCGTCTCGATTGCCTTCAAATTTGGTGTGCAGGGCCTTCTCATCACGCTGATTCCGAAAATCACTGTCTTTAGGGTGGGATTTTGCGTAATTTCCGAGTTATACGACGCGTAACATCCCAATATGATAATGCGGGGCGTCTCGATTGCCTTCAAATTTGGTGTGCAAGGGCCTTCTCAACACGCTGATTACAAAAACCACGGTCTTTAGGGTGGGATTTTGCGTAATTTTCGAGTTATACGACACGTAACACCCCAGTTGAATATTGCGGGGTGTCTCGATCGCGTCCAACTTTGGTTTGCAGGGCTTTCTCCACACGCTGACCACCGGTGTGTCGACGCCGCGGGCCGGCCGGTTATCAGCTGCTCGGGCCCCCTAACCACCGGTGTGTCGACGCCGCCGGCCGGACGGCTATCAGCTGCTCGGGCCCCCTAACCACCGGTGTGTCGACGCCGCCGGCCGGACGGCTATCAGCTGCTCGGGCCCCTGACCACCGGTGTGTCGACGCCGCCGGCCGGACGGCTATCAGCTGCTCGGGCCCCCTAACCACCGGTGTGTCGACGCCGCCGGCCGGACGGCTATCAGCTGCTCGGGCCCCCTAACCACCGGTGTGTCGACGCCGCCGGCCGGACGGCTATCAGCTGCTCGGGCCCCCTAACCACCGGTGTGTCGACGCCGCCGGCCGGACGGCTATCAGCTGCTCGGGCCCCTGACCACCGGTGTGTCGACGCCGCCGGCCGGACGGCTATCAGCTGCTCGGGCCCCCTAACCACCGGTGTGTCGACGCCGCCGGCCGGACGGCTATCAGCTGCTCGGGCCCCTGACCACCGGTGTGTCGACGCCGCCGGCCGGACGGCTATCAGCTGCTCGGGCCCCCTAACCACCGGTGTGTCGACGCCGCCGGCCGGACGGCTATCAGCTGCTCGGGCCCCTGACCACCGGTGTGTCGACGCCGCCGGCCGGACGGCTATCAGCTGCTCGGGCCCCTGACCACCGGTGTGTCGACGCCGCCGGCCGGACGGCTATCAGCTGCTCGGGCCCCCTGGCCACCGGTGTGTCGCCACTGGCGTCCGGCAGGCTCGCGTAGTGCAGCGTCTCTACCGCGGTCAGCAGTCGCGGGCTGATGTGGCCGGCCAGCCAACAACATGGGCATGGCGTGCTCAAGTGGCATGCGCTGCTCCACCGGCGTCACCAGCGTCCTTGGGAGATAAGACAGGCGGTGGCATCACCTAAATCTTCAGGCTCCAGCGGTGAGGCACGATTGGTTTGGTCACCAGTGACATCTTGTCAGTTTTTGGTCAGGATAAACAATGGCCGTGACTTCGTCGGACTATTACTCCACCACCGTAAATATCAGAAACGAAACAAAGCTGAGAGGGATGCCACTGGGTGATAAGACCAAGTCAATGATATCACATACCACACGATTATCGCTCACATCTCGCGAACTGACCTTCCCCAGTCAACTGATTCGGACAGGCCCAAAGGCGAATTCCAGGACACATATTCCAAAGCGCAACTGGAGTGTCACGAGTCGTATAACTCGGAAGTTAGGCAAAATCCCACCGTACAGAGTGGTTTTCGGAATCAGCGTGTTGAGAAGGCCCTGCACACCAAATTTGATGGCAATCGAGACGCCCCGCAATATCACATTGGGATGTTACGTGTCGTATAACTTGGAAATTACGCAAAATCCCAACCCAAGGGCACTGATTTTCGGAGTCAGCGTGTTGAGAAGGCCCCGCGCACTAATTTTGAAGAAATCGAGACACCCCGCAATATCCTTCTGGGGTGTTCCGGGTCGTATAACACGAAAGTTACGCACCATCCCACCCCAAAGACACTGATTTTCGTAGTCAGCGTGTTGAGAAGGCCCTGCACACAAAGTTTGAAGGAAATCGAGACGTCCCGCAGTGTCCAACTGGGGTGTTGCGCGTCGTATAGCTCGGAAACTACGCAAAATCCCACCCCAAAGATAAGGATTTTCGGAACAGCGTATTGAAAAGGCCCTGCACACCAAATTTGGAGACAATCGAGACGCCCCGCAATATCACATTGGGATGTTACGCATCGTATATCTCGGAAATAACGCAAAATCCCACCCCAAAGACGGTGACTTTCGGAATCAGCGTGTCGAGAAGGTCATGCACACCAAATTTGGGGGCAATGGTGACGCCCCGTAATATCCGACTGGCAATTGAATATCAATCTGCTGCTAGGTTGACGGACGTCCCAAGGGCAGTGATTTTAGGAATCAGCGTATTAAGAAGGCCCTGTTCACCGAATTTGGAGGCAATCGAGACGCCCCGGAATATCACATTGGGATGTTACGCGGCGTATAACTCGGAAATTACGCTAAATTCCACCCCAAACACAGTGATTTTCGGAATCAGCGTGTTGAGAAGGCCCTGCACACCAAATTTTTGAGCCAATCGAGACTCGCCGCAATATCACATTGGGATGTTGCGCGTCGTTAACTCGGAAATTACGCAAAATTCCACCCCAGAGGCAGTGATTTTCGGGATTGGCGTGTCAAGAAGATCATGCACATGAAATTTGGAGGCGATTGTGACGCCCCGGAATATCCAACTGGCAATTGGATATCAATCTGCTGCTAGATTGACGGACGTTGACGGCGGGGATACACCGGCGCAGTGCGTGCAGACCGCCTGGCACCGCTCGCACGATGACGTCAGTGGGCAGTGCGCAGCAGGATGTGCCAACGGGACAGCAGGAAAATCCGGGCGGCGTCTCTATTTATATACCAAAAACATCCTCCTGCCTGTGCTTCCAGGAGACGAATTACCGCAATCGCAACGTCAATAAAGTCGCGCCGTCCAGACATATCCAAGCTCTTAGTATGTGTACATTAACGCCCGCTTTTGGCCTGACCTTTCACGTCCTTATCCGTGGGCGTGTTTATGCAGTTTGGTCCCCAGCTGCAAGCACCAGTACATGGATGGCACGGCAAACATTGAAGCCAGAGAGGCATCCGGCTGAAGGCGGAGCCTAAATTCAACCACGGCGTTGATCATTATATCGATTTAGTGGTAAAGTCGGGATAGATTCGACCCATTCCCGTCCTTTGCGTTGGCCATTATATCGATTTAGTGGTAAGGTGGGGATTGATTCGACCCATTCCTGTCCTCTGATCCTGGCTTTGGAAGATATTTGGTCTGCTCTATGGCTTGTTTATACTGCGTAAGTTGGCCAAGAATCTTGCTATTTCTGCGTTGTTTTCGTTGCGTTTTCTTTGACGTTTTTATTTTGGTTTTTTCACTATAAACGCATCCTTCTTTGGTGCTGCCAATCCGTCTGCCGCCCGCCCACCAAGCACGGATTACGCGGCAAGATGAAGGGCATCACTGTCACGGACTCAAACTCGGCCAAAGTTATTGATGTTGACCTGGATGTCAACAGTATTGATACTTCCCCGGATGTCATCGACGGTTGCGATGCTTTCCTGGATGTCGTCGACGGTAGCAATGGTTCCCTGGATGTCGTCGACGGTAGCGATGTTCTCCCAGATGTCGTCGACGATAGTGATGCTCCCCTGGATGTCGTCGACGGTAGTGATGTTCACCTGGATGTCGTCGACGGTGGCGATGGTTACCTGGATGTCGACGATGCTAGTGTAGCTAGCCCTGATGTGATTCCTAATTCAGCCCATGGCCCCAGCTCCCTCAGACCTCTCCTCTGGATCCCGCACCCCCGCCGTGGTGGCGTGACGTGATTCAACTGGACGTCATGCAGCAGCACAGGCAGGGGGCATGTGCCCCGTGAACGTGTTTCGAGGGGCCCGTAGGGCTTCTCGGGACCTACGATTAACGGCCCGAAAGACCGGCCGAGGTCGTAATCAGGGGCCCGGACCGAAGGACTGGGCACGTCAATACCATCCACAGGGCCATCCGCGCTGATCAGGGGCCCGCTCGGTCAATAAGGGCCCACGTGTCGGTCAAGCACCACCAATAACGTATAGTCGGCCACGCGTCTGCATGGGCCTGTGGGCCAACTCGCCAAGCAGGGACGAAGCGAGAGCCAGAAATTTAGATTGGTCGGGGCCCAGTGTCTATCAGGACCCCACAGCCCAATACGGGGTCCAGTGTTGGTAAGGTACCCCGAGTCGGCCAGAGACAGTGTTCAAGCAGGCCCGAAGGTCTGGTCGGATCTTATTCAGGGATATCAGACCACGGGGACGGGCCCTCAGATGACAGACAAAGGGCCTTTGCGCCGATCGCGGACTCTCT